GGGTCTGTGCTGCTTTGGTCTTGACTGACCTAGTCCATCTTCTGGAGTGGGGACACTCAATTCCCCAGTGCCCAGGGTCTTCTAAGGTGTTTTTACACCATTTGCAGGGACCCAGTGGTGGCCTTTGGCAATCTTTTGCCCAATGACCTGTGCTTTTACACTTAAAGCAGGAAATATTTTCCTGATGTCCTCTTATATTTCTTCTGGACAGTTTATAGGTTTCAAGGACATTACCAATTATAGTAGCCATAAGCCTGACTTGCCATCTGGCTTTGCTCTGATTCTTTCTACTTTCCTCCAAATCCCTGTTGCAGAATTGGCTTCTGTTTTTCTGTGACCATATTTGGAGATTTTGTAATTTTCTCCTAATGTCTGCAGCTGACTGGTAAATGAAATGTTGGCCCAATAGGGCAATGCCTTCTATAGAGGAAGGGTTATATTAGTATATTTCTGGAAGGCCTCTTCTACCTTGTAATAGAATGCTGCAGGGCTTTCATCCTTTTCTTAGGTAATACTTCTTAATTTATCATAATTTTGACTTTTGCATGCCCTTTTTCATCTCTGCCTAGAAGGCTCATATCATCTGAGTTATCCTTGTCATTACTATAGGATTATTATAATCTCAGTTGGAGTCATTTGTTGGAACTGTCTCTGCCCCAGGGTGCTTTCCCTCTGGAGTATGGGCAAAGATTTCACCAACTTCCCTGTGGGTTGCCTCAGTGATTTGTTTCTTCTCCAGTGGAGTGCTGCATACTCTTAAGATAAATTGAATGTCTCTCCTAGACAAATCAAAGGCCATGGTTAGGGTCTGAAGCCCACTGGCAAATTTGTCTGGGTCTTCTGAACATTTACCTAGTATTGTTTTACACTGTTGAATTCTGTAACAGAGAATGGGACTTGAACCTTCACAGTTCCCCTGCTTCAGCCACATCTCTGAGGGGTAGCATGAGGTAGTGGGGTCATAGGGACCATAATGAATCCCACTTCTGGTATGTTGGAGGCTTAGAAGCTATGGAGAAGAGGGTGGCTTGTGGGGTTCCTTCCTGGAAGGATCATATGGAAGGTGTTGCCATAGCTGTTCCCCCTAAGAGAAAGGAGGGCAGGTTAACAATGGGTCATCTAGGGTATTGGGATTTGGGGCAGTTTCCCTGAGGTCCCTCGTGGAATCTTGTCATGACATAGTAGTGGATTTTGATGTAGGGCCATGAAGGCTTGGATATAGGGGACTTCTAACCACTTGCCTTGTCTCCTGCAATAACGGTCTAGTGGCAGAATGGTATTATAATTTTGGCTTCCATTCAGAGGTCAATGTTCTAAATCCCCTAGCTCATATTGGGGCCAAGCATTATTACAATAAAAAAATCAGTCATTTTTCCTCAAATTGTCAAAATGTTTCCAGTGATGGAGGATACATTCAACTGGGGAGCCCAATGAAATGGAGGTGGTCCCTACCATGTTGACTATTCTGTAAGAGAGGAGAATTTTTAGGTCCTGTAACTAGGGACCTGAATTCCACCTGAGGCATCCCTCTGGGGAATTAGGGACCTTGGGATTGGGTATTTCCTGGGTCTTCCCATAGAAATCCCACAATGAGCTTTCTAGCCAGACATCTCTGGTCCCTATGTTGCGTGCATACCACTTTCTTTTGAGTTCCTATGACCAAGACCATGAACTCTGTCCACTAATTTTGGAACACAATTTTTCTCTTTCCATTTTGAATATAGACTGTCCTTTTGGTCTGGCCCTTGGCCATGTAACTCTCTGGTGTTTTCTTTTGCTCCTAACAACTTGGTAACAACTCCTTCCTTTTCCTCTTCCTCTTCTTTCTCTTCCTCATAGCAGTGTTTAGCCTCTCTATTCACAGACCAAAAAGTACCCATGTAGTCCTATTTATGAGCAGTTGCTAAATGGCATCCCAACTTGTCCCTATCCTACCTTATGTAATCTTATTAAGCCCAGAAAATGGGGGGGGGTGACCCAGTTTTATTCTGGCCTGCTTTCTTTTGACCAATGGCTAAAGATATGTGTAATAACCACAGCTAAGAGGTCCCAACTCTCATAGGAAGTTTCAGGAAAATGATTAAAGAAAAGACAACAGGTGTTTTGGAGGTGATGCCCACAATCACTTGCCTACAAGTGATTGACAGAGAAGGAGCAACTTTCCACATGAGGTAGGAAAAGGCTGTAAACTAAGAAGAAGTGGAGACAGAGCCATGTTGAGCTTGATTCAGCTAATTTCCTTTTAGAGAAGCCACAGGGTTGGAGTAACAGGATTATTGTACAATGTGCCTGTTTTAGTGAGCTTTGTCTTGTGTCCAGCATAGATTAAATCTAACTGCAGCTCACTACCAGATTATCCTGTCATGGGAGTCTTCAAGTGGCAGGTGCCCTAGTGGCTTTTAGTTGCCCGACCTGTGCCCACTGATAGTGTGGCAAAGAACCAGGAGCTCTGACTTGACATTATAAGCAAGTAAAGTGGTTGAGAAGTGGAGAAAGGGTCATGAGGAGATAAAAAACACAAACAATGAAAAATCCCAACAAGCCAGGACAAGCACAAGGTAGGGACACTAAGCAGTACCTTTGAGTTTCATAAGGTCTCAGGATATCCACCCTTTCTGGCTAACAGAGTTTCCAACATTCTGAATAGAGGTAACTTCTGATCACTCTGGGGATGACCCAGATGACTGTCAGTTGCTTTTCAGTCTGAATGTGGTACTATTGGAAATCCTGATGAAAAGAGAGTTGGATTTATGCAGGTGCAATGGGGTGCCCTTGGAAAGGGGCTCACCTTCTGGCTGGCTCATCAAAATGTTACCATTATGATATCCAATCAAATTCCATTTCTTTGGTGTCCTGAACAAAGAATTGAATGAGACACACAGAAGTAACAGAGTATAGATTTATTGGAGGTGAAGATGGTACTCCATTAGGTAAAATGGAGTGGGCTAGAATAGAGAGAGAAAGGTGGGGGGAGAGATAAAGAGGGGTGGAGGATTCAAGGTCCCAGTGTCTGGAAATTAGGGTTTTATATCCTGAACTATGGGGGTGTCTCTTCCTTATATGGATCTGATTGAAGACTTTACCCCATTTTTTCCCATGGCACCTAATTAGAATATTTACCAATTTTGTTCATTTATGAATACCCCACCAGTGAAACTCCATATCATGTATGACCATAAGAATGAGATCCTAGGGGGTGTGGTTGTGGCTCAGTGGTACAGCGCTTGCCTAGCATGCATGAGGCACTGGGTTGGATCCTCGGCACCACATGAAAAAAATGACAAGGGGCTGGGGATGTGGCTCAAGTGGTAGCGCGCTCGCCCTCCATGCGTGCGGCCCGGGTTCGATCCTCAGCACCACATACCAACAAAGATGTTGTGTCCGCTGAGAACTAAAAAATAAATATAAAAAAAAAAAGAAAAAAATGACAAATAAAATAAAGGTATTGTTTCCATCTGCAACTAAAAAAAATTAAAGAATTGGATCCTAATTAGAATAACTTATATTCCATGTATGTATAATATGTAAAAATATACTCTACTTTCATGTATATCTAAAAAGAACAACAAAAAAAGAATATTTTCCAACTTTCCCCCCATTAATTACTTTAGAAAACCTAATTAGAATACTTCCCACTTTACTTCCATTGGTCATTTTAAAATTTGAACCTGTGGTGGGAGTTGTCAGGGTAATAGGATTTATTGTAAACAGGGACAGGGCTGTCTCCTTATTCTCCAGCTGCTTCATTTTAATATTTTGTCTCCACCATCTTGGTGTCCCTGAACTCCTACCTAACAGTAGCAAACGCCTGGACTCAGAAGGCTGAGGCAGGAGGATGACAAGTTGAAAGCCAGCTTCAGCAACTTAGTGAGGCCCTGAGAAACTTAGAGATACCTCTCACAATAAAATATTTAAAGAGCTGGAGTTGTAACTTAGTGGTTAAATGACCCCTGTGTTCAATAATACAAGGAAAGAGATGAAAGGCAGTTCCCCCAAAGGAAAGAACACAAAACACACACACACATACACACACACACACACACACACACACAGAGAAACAGCACAGATTCCTTAGTAAAACTATGGGATGGTTATTGTACAAAACCTAATAATTACCTTATTCAAATAATTAATTTTTCAGGTTAAGATATATAAGCATGTACTAATTTAAGTCTTTGGAATCATTGAACTTATCACATTGAGTTAACATTTTTCATTTTTTCTTTCTGGTACTGGGGATTGAATCCACGGGAGTTCTATCCATGAGCTCTATCACTGAGCTACACCCCCAGCCCTTTTTATTTTTTGAGAGAGCCCTTTTCGGTTTTTATTTTTTTTTTAAGTTTTATTTATTTATCGGTACAGGGGATTGAACCCAGGGGCGCTTTATCACTGAGCAACATCTCCAGCCCTTTTTATTTTATGAGAGGGCCTCGGTAAATTGCTGAGGCTGGCTTTGAACTGGCGATCCGGCTGCCTCGGCCTCTGGAGTAGCTGGGATTACAGTCGTGCGCCAACTCGCCTTACTGAGCTAACAATTTTTATATGAGGTGACCCGAAATGTGTCGGCTTTTTCTCCAGTTAATTCCCAGATTGATATGCACGTCCTCTGAAATGGAACTCAGATCAACCACCCTTTGTATAAGAGTTAGGGCAACTGGTAGAAAATTACGAAAGAAAAATTGAAAACAATGACACCGTGAGCTAGGAGTCCTGCGAGCAAGCTGGGCGAGTCACCACAAGTCGCAAATCCTGCTTTGCGGGTGTATTACCAGGTTCCCTATTCTCATCCCATAGCAGCAGAGAAGTTGGACAAGCCTCTGGGGCTCAAGACCAATGCCGGCGGAACTACAAGTCGTGGACTGTAGTTCCCCGGGGAAGAAGTACAGAAGAGGAAGCTACACATGCGCATAGATCCCCAGGTCAACAAAGACGGCGGCGTGAGCGCGCGCCGAAGAAAGACACAGGAGGACGTGCGCGTGCGCGTGTGCGGCCGCCACTCGCAGCTACTAGGAGGCAGAGGACACAGAGAGGGAGGGGCTGGGGTCACCGACCGCTGGAAGAACAGAAGGGGTTGTGCTCCTGGCCGGGGAAGGAGAAAGGGGCGGGGCCAGCGGGCAGCGCGTGGAGGTGTCGAGCTCCTGGGACCCGCCGGTGCGCGGGGGTCCGTGGCCCTCGCTGACGCCTTGGCCGCTGCTGCCACCGCTTGGTCTCCGTCGGTCTGCGGGAGGCGGGTTATGGCGGCCGCGGCAGTGGGCGCTGTGAATGAGTTCTCCGGGTGGACGAGGGAAGAAGAAAGGCTCCGGCGGCCCCAGCAGCCCGGTGCCTCCGAGGCCTCCGCCCTCCTGCCAGGCCCCCGCCCCTCAAGCTGCAGGGCCGGCCCCTCCGCCCCGGTCGCCGCATAAGCGGAACCTGTATTACTTCTCCTACCCGCTCATCGTAGGCTTCGCGCTGCTGCGTCTGGTGGCCTTCCACCTGGGGCTCCTCTTCGTGTGGCTCTGCCAGCGCTTCTCCCGCGCCCTCATGGCCGCCAAGAGGAGCTCCCGGGCCGCGCCGGCGCCAGCCTCGGCCTCGTCCCCTGCGCCCGAGCCGGGTGGCGAGGCCGAGCACGTTCGGGCCTTCCACAAACAGGCCTTCGAGTACATCTCCATTGCCCTGCGCATCGATGAGGACGAGAAAGGTAACTGGGGGTTGGGGGCGGTGGTCCAGGGAGGCAACACCTGCGTTCCTTTCCTGCGGGAGGGGCGGTGCATCCCCAGATTTGGATCAGCTCCGGGACTCTTTGAGTTCCTGCAAATCAGTTTCACAATTCCCAATTAAATCTCTCCCCTTTCAGGGCACCTCAGTTATCGACTTTGTTGCAGACACCATCCTTCTCCCTATACTTTTTCATGTCCCAAGTCTTTATAAGACACCCAGACAAGCTGGTGATAGTGACAGTTGTCCTAGAGTGACCACACGGATTCTTTCTAGCATTGTAAACCATGACTTCTCTGAGCCAGGTTTCCAAAAGTTTTTTTTTTTTTTTTTTT